AACTCTCAACTCTTCTGTGGTCCAGCACTGCTAGAAATTAATAAATAGTTGTCTGAAACATGCCTTATAAATAAGGGGAGGAGCTTAATGCATACAAGCTTCCTTATTGCATTACATKGCATCTTTAGGGTTTACAGAATTAAGCAAAGTATTCTAATATCTGTTTTACTTAACCTTATAGCTCACAGTTGCCCAGGACCTTTGCAGTCATTTTTAATAATAAGAAGCTGCAGATGCTGAACCAATAATGATAAATTATAAATAACAACAATTCAAGTGTGATATTATTTTTTAAAATATTTTAGTTGTAGTTGGACACAATAACTAGTTATTTTATTTTATTTATTTTTATGTGGTGCTGAAGATCAAACCCAGAGCATTGCACATGATAGGCAAGTACTGTACCACAAAGCCACAACTCCAGTAACTAAATACGAGATTATTTTAATTTAAAGAATAATAGATGGAAAATCTGGGGTGTTGCTTCATGGTACACCACTTGCTTAACATGCACAAACTCTGAGGTTGATCCCTCATTGCACAAAATTGTAAAAACAAAGCAAAAATCCTGATTCAAGACATGTGTTTTCATATTCCTTCTTTGTACTCTGTCTCATGTCTGATATATATAATAGCAACTATTGTCTATAGGAAGATATTTGTGTCCAGAATAAGGTTAAACCAATACATGTAGGATCCTTCTTCAGAGGCAGTTAGAGTCGTAATGGGCTAGAAACCATAATAGATACTAARTATTATTTTTCAAATCATTTTTTCACTGAGATTAAAATTCATTAAGAGAGATAATAAGTTTGAAATTATTATTAAGCATTTATGCCTTTACAAAGTTAAAATTTCTATGCAATTTCTTCATCAGACTAGCATAATTTTTGACGTCTCTCCCTACCTGGTTTACTTTGAAAGGCATTTCTTTTGTGCTTGATTTGTCAAATGGCTTGTACCATGTTCCTTGGAAGTAGATGGCATTGACAAGAATCAGCCTGACCTGCTCATCAATCAAGCCCATTGGTAGCAACTCTGGAATTTTACCTTTTAAGAAAAGCACAAACTCTGTCAGTTACTTTTTTTGAATCTTTAGTGAATAAGCATGACACAAYGTCTTGGAGATTCAAACATTCTGCTTTCATATGTGCTGAGTTTGGATGATGTGTATAAAAGTAAAAAATCCCAGCTATGAGTGGTATTCATGATGACAGGCACTGRATGAGCCACCAAGTTGAAGATATTGAAAGATTTMTATGTCACTGGAGGAAAGCAGATTGGGACAAAGCAGAAACTTGACTCCAGGTTGGAGAAGAAGACAAGCAGCAAAGCAGAGAGGGGCTGGGTAGGAGCTGACATTACCTGCTGTGGGTAAGAGCAGTGTCAGGTCTAAGRCCCTGTGGWCAGGCCCAGTTCTAACATTGTACAGCTACCTGCAACATTCCTGAGGCACACAGAATTGAATAGCTCCAAAGCAGGGACATGGGAGGAGTTTCTGGAAACTACAGAAGAGATAATATGATATCACCCTCCTGGCACCTGGAATCCCTGGAACAGGTAATGATTTGCATAGGTGAAGGTATGTCCTTCTTTCCCTGTATATCAAGTGGTATAGTTCCAAGGAACTAAGAGCATCCCTGCTAATTTGCTGCCTCTAGAGGGCACAAGAAGAAAAGATTCCAAGAAGAAATAGTGGAAAGTACTACCTCTAGTTTTTACTAATTCATTTGTTAGCAGAAATAGAGACATTCCTAGTGGTGTATAAGTGCCTGGATGGTTCAAACATCAAACCATTTTGATCTAGAGGACAAAGGTTAGAACCTGTCACACCCTAAAAAGAAATGAGTATGTTTTAACCTCACAAGCAGGKTGTTTTCAATCTGTGGAATGGATCAGCCCTGAAAGAGATTCTGTAGTTGACTAATCAATTCTAGGCTTCTCAAATTTGATGAAGTGTGCTTAAGTGAGAGATAGGAAAGAAGAAGTAGGAGAATTCACCTTAAAAGTGGGAGGAATAACGTCCGAACTGATCCCAGGAAGAGGAGGGCCAAGGGCATGACKTGGGAAGATCTGGCCATTGATCTGTTCTCATAGATAAGAGTCACCTGCTGTGAGAACAATACAGGCCAGTGACATGTAAAGTATTATATGGGAAATCTGACTCACAAGTTTCTGTTAACACTTGCATCAGTGACTCTGGTACTAGGAAAAGAGACAGCATTAATTCTCTGGTTTTGAAAACCTGAGCACTGATCAGATCTTCTGTGAGCCACTAAGGTTCACAGGCACCAAGAGGCTCAGCCAGGCAACCTTGCGCTGATGGTTCTGCAACACCAGTGACATTAGCAGTGAGGAGGAGAGGTAGAGGAGAGAGGAGAGGAGAACAGGGGTGGGGTGGGAGGAGAGAGAAATAACTTATAATTCTGACCTTTTGTTTCTTTAGAGACCCAAGTATTTATATGCTCCCTGGACTTCTCTGTAGCTTCAGCAAAGGACAGCAGCTCCAGCTCCGCATGGTAGAACTGAAGACAGGACTCCTTAAATGTCTTTGGAGAGAAATAGTTCAAATGGTCAGGTTGCTCAATAAAATGACAGTGAGCTTCAAAGCATTCTGAATGATAGCTTTAGGCTATTCTTAAAATTAAAAACATGATCAAATATTAAGCTACTTGATCGTGAAACATTTTAGTTTGTAAGGAGATATTTTCTGAGCTTGGAAAAACCAGAGAAAATAAATGAAATTTTAGATATTGCCAAAATTGAAATAATACAAGTTATGAGTGTACAATTGGATTCCTTATAAAAAAATAGTTTACTGTGAGTTTCTCAAGTTCTCAAGAATATTGTTCTTTTTTTTTTTTTTTTGCAAGTTTTTGCAGTACTGGGGATTGAGCTCAGGACCTTGAGCATGGTAGGCAAATGCTGTACCAATGAGCTATGTTCCAAGGCAGTTTTTCATTTTGTTTTCAAGACGAGGGTGTCACTAGGTTGCCCAAGCTGGCCACTAACTCTCCATTCTCCCATCTAAGCCTCCCAAGTGTGCCATCCTGCCTAGTCTCTAGGGTCTCTCTTCTGAGTTGTATATCTCCAGGTATTTTAAATACAACTTTTATTGTTCTGCTGACTCAACTTACTGAGAGGAAATCACAGGTCTTCTCTCCAAAGAGCCTGTTGGCTGTTGTAAGCAAGTACTTTGACCCAGGCTTGTTCACTTGGGTGAGAAGCATCTGGAAGCCCTTATGGATGTCTTCCTCTGTGTTTAAAGACATTGCCTGTGAAGGAAAGCAAGAAAACACTCTCAGTTTTGATCTTGATCTCCACAAGAATTTTCAAGCAATATTCTTCTCAAATACTGCATGAATTTATCCTTTGAGAGGAAGTTGATTCTAATTGAGAAGTGACACTGGTGGGATAGGTGGAGAGAGGGGCCAGGAAACTGCTGAGTAAGATACGGGTTTTGCACCTGCACAGAGCTCTCTGCATAGTTTATAGATGAGCAATAAAACAAAATGAAAGGGGCATGAGATGTTCAGAAAAGGGACTATTCTTAATTCCTGCATCCCACAGACACCATAAATTTGTCAGAAATAGAGAATAACTTACCTTTATTTATGTACAAAATTATGTAGTTCAAAATACTGAAATAACTTGCATGTCTTTATTTACAAAAAAGATGCAGTTCAAAAAACTAAAAATAAAAAAAAATTGGACAGGAATGCAATCATCATGATAATAGTTAAAAGGAAATAAAAATATAAAATGAGTAATATCATTAATAAGAATAAATTAGTTCTTAAACAGTATCCTAGAGAGAGATAATATATGTATACTATATGATACTTTATCTTTCAATAAAGGTGTCATATTGCATCAGAAGAAGAGTTTCATTTGACTCTGAAATACAGAAATCATAGTTTATATTTAATGACCTCAATGTAGGAAACTAAAAATCAACAACACTACAAACCAACAACATGGAAATTAACCTACTAATTATTAAAAACAATTTATAAAGAAATAACTCTCCTATGTAATAATCAAATAACTAACATGTTGTCTATTTTTTCTTTTGATTTACTCAGCACTAGCTTTTGACATTGTATAAATAAATGACAGAGCAGCACAACTTTGGGACTCAATCTTAAATATTAGTACTGAAAAAAGCTATAAAACTAATTTTTCTAGAATTTGTAAAATTACTTCCATTTCCCAACATAATTAAATTTAAATGACATTTATTTTTTCAGTCTTCCAGTTGGTCAACATACATGCTTTCTTTGTTAGATATTAGCCAGAAAATATGAAGAAAACTCCTGTCGCCTAGCAAAGATATACAACCAAATTGCCAAACCTGTTGTATCAGCTGGACTGCCCTCTAATGGACTATATGAGGTATTCAGCTAAGAGGTCAATGTGACTTGGTTTGACAATTATATTCCACAGAACATATATAAACTTCTTATATCCTACACAAACTGAAGTTTCTTGATTAATTTAAAACCAAAATAAAAACCTTTTAGTAAATTAATTTTTACCATGAAAGAAATTGTCAGAATGACAATTGTACAAGTAAACAATTTGAATCATTTGGAAATTGGTAATGAAGGTTTATGTAATTTCAGTCTTTTCAACCTTGGAGGCAGATCCTAAACAACAGTAGTAACAGGCAGGAGCAAGAGGCATAATGTAACGACAATCTTTTGTGAATATTTCTGTATTAACACAATCATATTTTTGTTAGTCTATTCACTCTACAGATATTTTCTTATGCATAAACATGAGTCACAGTGGACACATGCTGAGTAGCTCATATCTGTTAAGTCTCTTGTCACAACAAGCAATAGAAGTTCTTTGAGCCTTTCCTCTGTGAAACACCATTTTGAGTAGCAAGTTGTTTTTCCTCTGTGGCTCATGCCCAGGCCTGAGACTTGCAGTACTGTAGGACCAGTTTACCATCACTGCCCAAACATCCCTCATCTGGGGGAGGAGCAAAGAACTGATTCCCATAAGTGAACAAATGTTCCAAGGCCACAATTTTAAGGAACTTCTTGATGAACTCAAGAAAAGTTATAAATGAAAAAGAGATTACACAGTGAMCCCTGCAAGCAACCAACCACAACATCTCACTGGAGGAAACTCCTCACCTCTTTCCTTCCCTTCATTCTGTGCTCCCTCCCTGAAATGGTCCAGGCTCACCCCTCCTTCCTCAACAGTTCTGGAAAAACTCAAGGAGGGGATAAAAGACAACCTTGCAGACTAGTCCCTCCTTCTCGTTGACAGGAAAGCTTACCTGAGCCATCTGRTCTTTGGTGTTCCCCTTTGCCCCCAGGAGCACCATGGCCAGGGCAGAGGAGATGCTCAGGGGAGAAAAAAACACATTTTGTGAAGGTCTGTCTTGACACAGCATCTTCAAAACCTGGATGGCAAAGGTGCCATTTGCTTTTGAAAGAGAATCCATGATGCAGGGTCTGGGGGCAAAGAATACAGAGAAATACAATGAAATGGGGCTGAGGACACTGTGTGTGGTCTCTGCTTGGCTTCCATTTTTCTTGTGAATTCAGAAAATTTCTGAGTACCGGCGAAAGCCATGGGAGTAGATTAGACAAGTGAAGAAGGATTGGGTGTCTGTAGAACATCAAASTGTCAARKAAAGGAAGAACAGAAAAGCAGGCAGAGGAGAACAGAAGTTGACAGGTCAAAGAAAGAAGAGTGAGTAGTCAAAGCCAGAGCAAGGAGGTGCTGCTTGAAGCCAGAGACAGTGGAGTGTAAACACCATGGGGCAGCTCTATGCATGAGACCCTCCCTCACGGGTGGCTAGCCCTAGACCTTGGGAAACCTCCCTGACAACTTCCCATTTCTCAAAGATCCCCCAATCCTATGTCCAAGCAAGCATTTATCCCCCTCTCAAATCATTCTACCCCACTCCACTTCTCCAGCCCCTGTGATCCTGTGCCTAGTCTGAACCACCTGGCTCCTCTCCAGAGCCTCTGACCTCCCTGACCCAGAGATCTCCAGTACAATCAGCTCCTGCTCACTAAAATGCAAATCAAGTGGGCTAGGGAGCCTCATAACATGGGCTCCCCCAATTAGGACCCCAGATAGATAGACACACAGAATACTGAAAGGGAAGTGCTATCTTGATCCTATGAGCTCTCCCTTAAATCTCCAGTGGCCCTAGGGATAAGCTCAAAATGTATTTTGTAAATGGCATCCCACCTGCCTGGCGCCATCCCTTGCTGCAGTCCTCCTGTGTTATAGTCTCCACTTCTACCCACCCTGATCCCCCCAATCACCTCTGAGCTTTGGCAAACACTGATATCCAACTTAAAAGGATTCCTACTCCATCCCTTTCACCAGGCTCCAATCACTCATTGCTCGCTTCTAGGCTCAGCACCAGGAGGCCTCTGATGTCCTAGTCTAGAGCTCCCTCCTCCCCACCCTGACTCATCACTGCTAACTGTAATTCCTTGTCTTATTTATTGTTGGACCCACAAGACTGGCCACTGTCTGCAGGAAAGGTACCTGGAATCCTGATTCTAAGCACCTGCAAGTATGCTCAGGAAACAGCAAGAGCTCCATCAATTAGGGGGAAATCTCAGATAAATAAATGGTGAACTGGTTTTGAACTGGATTCTGGAGATTTTAAAAGCGCAGTAAAAGGTTAGGCAGAAGTTACTCTGTGACTCCCTGAGGAGAGAGGAGACATGAGGAAATAAGGCAAGTAGGTGGGAGTGGTGTTGGAGCATGAACACCCACCAGGGTGAGGGCCAGGGCCAGAGAGGGGCAGGCAAGAGGCAAGCAGAAAAGCCAGGAGGCTGTGCAGCATCTTTGTCTTCATGAAATCATGCAGCCCTTCTCTGGGACTTGCCCTAAGCAAGGTCCTCCTGCACCATTGACCCCCATGATCTCCCAAGAAGCTCTTTCTCTAAACACAGCAATTACATTGACTTGTCTTTTCTCATCTCAGCCTCTGGCATCCCTTCTCCCAGTGGTGGCCTGGGGTTTCTAAAACTTGCCTTTGTCCACTGTCACTTCAGCCCCTGCACAGAGAAGTCCTCACCTGCCACCTTCCACACAGTCTCTCCCTCAGGTCTCAGTGCTGCTAGCCTTGTGCTGACTTCTGAATCACAGGACCAGGATCCACAGCTGTGCCTCTCTCAGGTCCACTCTGGAGCCTCTGCACTCCCAGAGGCCTTTATGGGGCCTGTGTAGCTCTGGGACTTTCTGTCTTCCAATCAGCATTCACTGCCCCAGGGAAGAAATCCAGTGTGACCTGGGTCAGGTCACTAATCCCCTTGCTCTTGCTCTCCTATCCTGGCCTCTGTCACCCACTGGTTTGCACTGGAACACCAAGGGAGACACTGGGGTGGAGTTGTACACAGCATGTTTTCTAGAGGATTCTGAAAGTGAAAGCACTCTAAACTGACAGCCAAAGGCAGGCTGCAAAGTCCCCTGGGAAAAACACAGTGGGGACTGGGGAAGGACACAGATCCTACAAATCTGGGCTTCCCTACTGACAGAAAGAAAAGACAGAATGACAGCATGAGATTTTAGGGGAGGAAAGTCATATAGGTCTTATTCTGAGGCTCCTGCCTGACACAAATGAGAGATTCAGCTAAATGGAATGTGTCCCTTTCCCTTATATGCTGTTAGTGGAAACGTAAATTAGCCCCATCACTATGGAAAATGGTAAGGAGTTTCTTCAGGAACTAAAGGTAGTGCTACCTACCTCATGATCCAGTTATACCAGTCTTCTCTGTGTACATGTGAAGGAATCAAAGTCAGCATAGTACAGAAACAGCTGCATACCCATGTTTGTCCTAGCAGAGTTCACAAAAGCCAAGTTATGKAATCAGCCTAGGTGCCCATTAACAGATAAATTCATAAAAAAATGTGGTAAGTATATATGTACAGTAGAGATTTATTTAGCCATAAAAAGGAAGGAAATGTAATTTGTAGGAAAATGGATGCAACTGTAAAACATCATATTAAGCAAAACAAGTATCTCATGTTTTCTTTCATATGTAGAATCTAGAGAATAATATAAAATGACATGAAAGTAGAAGATGGACTAATAGGGAAGATAAGGGTGAGGGAAAGTACAAGGGGAGAGAGAGAGTGTGTTACAGGTAGGGTGGATTCAGTTAAAGTACTTTACATGCATGTATGAAATTGCTACAATTAGACAATTTTTTTGCATAATTACTATGAGCTCATAATTATCTAAAAACAATTTTTTAAATGTTTTTTCCAAGGGCTGTGTATATAACTTAGCTGTAATATGCTTGCCTCATATGCACAAGACCCTGGCCTAATCCCCAGCACCAGAAAAATAAAAATAAAAACTTTGTTTTCCGGTTTCTACACCACTAATTATTACCAGTGCAACACCCTCATAGAGAACACATTTCTCCTAAATCTGAGCAGCTGATCTATTTTCCAACTTTTGGTACTTAGGCTGTGGAACTGGTATATAATCAGTCCTACTCCTCATTGGCAATGTGACAGAAACAGAGACTGAATCAAAATGGCTCGGACCTCAAGTGTGTCCATCATCAGGTTCAGAGGCATGGACCACCTGGAGCACATTGGTTTAGCAGTTCATGTCATCCAAGGTCCACACTCTTCCCCATCCCTCTTTGTACCAGCTTCAAGCAATTGGAAATACTTCATGTTGACATCTTGCCCAAGAAAGAGAACAGACCAAATGTCTCTTCCTCTGAAGCAGGGAGAATTTCCTAGAAGTTTGTCCATCAGCAGATACCTGTCTGTTTTCAAATTAATAAAAATTTGTTTTCTCTCCTGAGTGCCTGAGGTGAGGCAAAATATTTAACAGGCCATTTTCTTAGGTGCCAATCCTCCATTTACATGACCCCAAGAATGAGGGCTTCCATAAACTTTGTGCCCTATGTGCCATACCATTTTTTTAATAACACCTTTATTCTTTGGCACATGCTTGTAATCCCATCGGCTAGGGAGGCAGAGTTAGGAGGATCCAGAGTTCAAACCCAGCCTAAGCAAATTAGGAAGACCCTGTCTCAATCAAAAATAAAATTATCTGGGGATCTGGTTCAATGGTTAGGTATCCCTGGCTTTAATCTCTGTATACAAAATAAATCAATTAATAAACATGAAGATGAACAGATAAATAATGCTTGTTAAAAGATGAATATGCATACCATAATATTGAAAAGAGAAGGAATCTGAGACATTATAAATTCTGTTATTAGCAGAATGAAGGAAAGAAAAGAGTTTAAACTATCAGTTAAGCTAACACAACAAAGAAAAAATAACTGTAGCATATTTTTTGTCATATTTTAAGATCAGCCATTGAGACAAAATTTTATTCTACTTATCGACTCAACCAACCAAGAGGCTACAGAAACATGTCTCTGCTGACTCTCTTCCTATCCCAGGTCATATCCCTCTTCTCTCTATCCATTGTAGATTTAATGAAAGTAATCTGCACCTCCTGATCCCTGGATTTTTATGACAAAATATCTTTAGATCCAGTGGACATTTTTCCAGCTGCTACCTGGTAATGCTGCTAGTGACTTAGGGAATTTGCCCTAGGACCAGGCTAGCAACATGCACAGCTTGATAAACCCATGTATTTCAGAGATATCTCAATCTCAAAATTAGGGTTTAACAATAATCACTTCTTTAAATCCTACAATTCAGGATATTCACGGAGCTGTACAACTGTCTCCAATGTCTGAGTCCAGAACATTTACATCACTTCAAAATCAAATGGGATACTCATTTATAATTATTCTCCAGTCCCTCCTCCCTCTCCCAACCACTGGCAACCACTAATCCATTTTTTTTCTCTATGTATTTGCCTATTGAGAGCATTTCACATAAGGAATCATACAATATGAGGTATTTTGTTATTGCCTTCTTTTATTAACCTGRTGTTTTCAAGAATCATTCTTCTTGGTTCGAGGTATGGGCATTTATCTCTTTTTGTTTTGGAAAAATACTCATAATAATATTGGGTGTATATATGTTCATTTTAAAATTTAATCAATTAGTAGGCATTTAGTTGGCTTGATTCCATCATCTGTCTGTTAAGAACAATGCTGCTATGAACATTTGTGAACAATTTTTGTGTAGACATATTTTCTTGAATTCACATTGAATAGAGACCTAAGTGTGAAATTTCTTGTTGATATGATAACTCTGAATTTAATTTTATGTAGCACTACCAAACTAATTTGCAAAGTTACTGCATGAATTTAAATGCCCACTAGCAATGAGAGTTTTAGTTTCTCTATGTCTATTGTCTGATTGTTACTATTCTAGAGCACATGGGGAGATATTTCACTGCAGCTTTGAATCGTATTTCATTGATATGTTATGATGTTGTGCTTCTTTTCATGGCTTATTGGTCTATTATATATCTTTCTCAAAGAAATGCCCATTCAAATGTTTTATCCTAGTTTTAAGTTGGGTTAGGATTTATTTTACTATTGAGTTTTTAATACCACATTTTTTACGACATGAGTTCTGGTTACTTCCTTATCTTTGGGTAAGTTCTAAATTTTCCCAGGGAAAAAATATTTTTACAGTATATAACATGTCATACAACACCACATCATGCAACACCACAGCATGTCATGCCAAACCACACCACACTTGACACCATTCAGAGGCCCCAAGCTCTCAGCAGTGGCTTAGGTTGGGAAGGGCAGGATTG